CAACTGATAGAACTACAACTGTGAAATGCATTGCACATGACAGCACACAGAAGCGATATAGAGTACCCGATATAGAGGCATGGGAAAAAAGTGGATTTTTTAGAGAAATATGGAAGAGATTGGAACTGCACACTGTTCCCTGCATGTTGCAATCATCATAGTCGGGGTCACTTTCTTATATTTATCAACAGTGTTTTCAACACTTTTTTGGATGTTCGAAGAGATGATCGCATCCCCAGAATAATTCATTTCTTTTTCTTTGGGTTGGATCAAAATGTTTTTCTACTGAAGCAGAACAGCAAATAATCCCTCTATTCTAAACTCTTTTCGAAAGAAAGATACATTAATACTGAAAGCCAGTCAAGCTATTAATACACCCCAAAGTCAATTAAGTTATTAATCTATTCTTCCCGTTCCTCTGTATTTGAGATGGTGATAATAATTTCATTCATATATTCACATAAGTAAAACCTAATTCATCTTCTGGAGCTTCCTCCATTACAGAATAATTTCGGAACTGAAGCAAACTGCAAGGAGGTTAAGCACTTATTCTTAAAAACGTATTTGTATTTCCACTTTAAAATATATATATACATATGCACCCCATAGAAGAGTATGATATAACTGGAAAGCAGAATAAACCTAAATATTGCATGAACTGAGAAACTGTAATGATGAATTGCTGTCAATGGGTGGCAGCAATAGGTTCTGTTGAATTTAAAAAATAGATGCTACAGCTCTTCCTTAAGCACTTTCCCCCCAAATTAAGAAATTTAAGCAGCAGTTATATAAAGAACTCAGAAAGAGAACTGGGAGAGGGGATTATGAATGGATTTTGAATGGGATTCATTAAGTGTAGGATTTGTGCAGAAAGGGAGAAAAGGAGGAAGGAAAATTAGAGGAGCAGTTGGTTGATTTAAAGTTAAGATATTCCAAAAAGCTCATAGGTTAAACAATATTATATGAAATCACAGTTGCCAGTTCTTTATTTATTTATATTTATTTATTATCAGATTTATATACCGCCCTTCTCCCCAAGGACTCAGGGCGGTGTTGGCCTTCATACACCAAATGCTAAGATGTCATAATGTATTGGCATAGTATATGTGCCATATCCAAGGATATCGAAGCATATCCAAGTATATCCAAGCCTTTTATAATTGACAGTTGGAAATTTTATCAATATGCAGATTTTCTAAATACCATCCAAGATTTTTTGACATGGCATCCACTGGGCCAAAAACATGGGACCACCATGTCTACTTTATGCCATCATTGTTTAATTTTGATTTTGATTCTTTGCGATCTTCTCCAATTCTTTGTCTTCTATCCCCTCTTATTGTCACATCAATTATCCATACTTCTTTTCAATCACGGTTAAATATGATGTGTTGTGAACCAAGACTTTATGAATTTGTATTCAGAAATCTCACAATATTTTAACATGCTCATTTTCAACTACTTTTTCAAATCTGTGTTGCTATCAATTTTTCATTACTGGCAAATGATAATTTCTACAGATGTTCCAGTGAATAAATTTGGCAGCTGTGTTATGTTATTGTTTATAATCTTGTGTGTGATCAAGCATGAGCTGAGTGTATGCTCTATTGTTTCTTCTCCTTTGCACAATTTGCACTTTGAATCATTAGATTATTTTTAGTTGATTGCATTAGTTTGAACAGCTTGCTCTTACGTAGCCAAAATCAACCCTTCAGTTTCTTTTTTTTAACGTTTCAGGTGTAAGCTATTGCCAGGCCTTCTTTTTATTTACCTCCCCACCCCCCACCGATCTTTTGTAGAAATTGACCATGTAATATTTTTCCTTGCCAGCATTCTATTCTTGTTTTTATTAAATTATTTCAATATTCATGTTTTGTTTCCTTCTGGCTGTCTTTTATATAATCAATCAATGCATACTTTTTTGCTTCAACAGTTTGTTTGACCTGAAGTAAACTTCTGCTTCCATTTCTGCAGGACAGATATACTCTATTAATATCACTGTGCATAGTAATGCATAGTGAATAGTCATCAGTTTTCTTGTTTTTGGGTTCAAACTATTCTGTTCAGCTTGTGTTCAGTTAATAATTCCAGCAATGTATCATATCACAGGTATGGCCCAGGTACTCATGTTTCCACCATTCAGTTTTGCCTTTAGCAAGTTTCTCTTTGCACGTTCTTTACTAATCACATTTTAAACTTACCCATGCTTGGATAAGTTACACTTTTACACAACTGTAAAATGTCAGATACCTGTAGGCTTCAACCTGAATTATTATTATTATTGATTTTTACAGATGCAACATTAGGATACATCCCTCCAATGTTTAGATTATCATCTTAATAAACTCCACATGGTGTGATGAACGATGATTGTTCCAGTGAATTGTATTCATGTGATTGTATTCCAATACAAGAATACTGTTGTATTCTTGGGGGATGACTGTTCTGATACATGTTGCACTGAGTAGTTAAAATGCTGCAGTTCTAGAATGGCAATCACAAGGGGGCATTATCAACCCTCAATAATGCTGGTGAAAATTTGTTGAATCCTAGGTCCAGCTCATGACAGTGCCGGTTACAGGAGAGACAGGTGACTATTTAAATGTGTGAAATGACCTGAGCTGACTTTGCTGGGAAACCTGAGGTGGGGATAACAGGTATTTGTGAATTGCTTTGGCCCATCAAATTGGAATAGAGTGCAACAAAAGTCATTTCTCAGCTCAGAGAAATCCACTTCTCAGGTTCTCTCGAAACTCCACTCAAATCAAGACTCTTATTCTGCAATTACCCTGCAATTCTTTCTAAGATGAAGAGATACAAAAGTTTGCATGCTGTTCTGTATATCTGCAATTGGTCGAATAAATTGATATGGTTAGTTGGACAAGCGATCCCCATGATTTTATGGAGAAGGCAGACTGTATATTTGAAAATGGTAGAGCAAATCAAACCCTGGAGAAATCTGTCAAGGCTCTTTTTCTGACAAGGAGACTCTTTGCTAGACACTCATCTAATCTTTTCAAGCAACGATCAGCATCCGAACCAAGGGAAAACCAGCATCTCCCAATAGAGGTGTCCATAAGGTGTGATATAAAGCAGTAAATTAATTAATTTGATTGCACCATCACAATTATTATCTTGACCTTTTTTTGGTTTTGTTTTGTTATTACACTACCATGCCCAACTGTGCCTTTTCCCTCTAGTTCTGTGATGTGGAAAGCTTAGGTTTCCAAGCTGCTGAACTGCAGCACCTAGCATCCCTTCTCTTTGATTTCCTGCAGATGCTGGAATTTGCCCTTCAAGGACCCAGGGAGTTGTCTCCCTCTCCAATACTTGGTAAGAGTTGGTACAGTTTGCATTCGGCCTAGAGTACAGCCAAGAAGCAGCAGAAGGCTGAGATCACACAAGTGTTGTCAAAGAGACATTAGATAGATAGAATTCTTTATTGGCCCAGTGTGATTGGACACACAAGGAATTTGTCTTTGGTGCATATACTCAGTGTACATAAAAAGAAAATATATATTCTCTTGCCTGCAAGGGTGCGCTTCCCCCCTGAGGATGGGTGGTTGGCTAGCAGCTTTGGGGAGGAATTGCTGCACGGGTAGTGGATGAAGGTTTGGACCTGCTCCTCCAGTCCCAGATTATTATTATTTATTTATTATTTATTTTTTGTCAAGCATATATAAGATAACAGGTAAAAGTATAAACATAATTTGAATACATGAAAAGAGTAAGAGTAAAAAGGAATATTAGGACAGGGACGGTAGGCACACTGGTGCGCTTATGCACACCCCTTATGGATCTCTTAGGAATGGGGCAGGGGTGAAATCCAGCAGGTTCTGACAGGTTTTGGAGAACCGGTAGCAGAAATTTTGAGCAGTTCGGAGAACCGGCAAATACCACCTCTGGCTGGTCCCAGAGTGGGGGTGGGAATGGAGGTTTTGCAATATCCTTCCCCCAGGAGTGGGGAGGGAATGGGGATTTTGCAATATCTTTCCCCTGGTGGGGTGGGAATGGAGATTTTGCAGAATCCTTCCCCTGCCACGCTCACCAAGCCACACCACACCACGCCCACCACACCACACCCACAGAACCGGTAGTAAAAAAGAAATTGGATATCACCACTGGAATGGGGTGAGGTCAACAGGAGACAGTTTAAGGTTAAAGTTTTGGGGGTTTGGGGAAGAAACCACAGAGTCAGGCAGTGCATTCCAGGCGTTGACCACTCTGTTGCTGAAGTCGTATTTTCTGCAATCGAGTTTGGAGCGGTTTACCTTGAGTTTGTACCTATTATTTGCTCGTGTATTGTTGCGGTTGAAGCTGAAGTAGTCATTGACAGGTAGGACATTGCGGCAGGAGCCTGAGTGGCACAGCAGACTAATGCTATTGTTAAAAGTAGTATTTAGCTTCCAGCTGCCTAAAAATTACTGCAAGTTCAAATCTCCCCAGGCTCAAGGTTGACTCAGCCTTCCATCCTTTCTGAGGTAGGTAAAATGAGGACCCGGTTTGTGGGGGCAATAAGCTGACTTTGTATAAAATATACAAAAGTATGAAGGCTATTGCTTAAGGCCTTGTAAGCCACCCTGAGTCTCCGAGAAGGGCGGCATATATATATATAGAGAGAGAGAGAGATAGATGATAGATAGATAGATAGATAGATAGATAGATAGATAGATAGATAGAAAGAAAAGAAAGAAAGAAAGAAAGAAAGAAAGAAAGAAAGAAAGAAAGAAAAATATAGGTCAGACCGAAGTCTGTGTAGTTCTAAGTTGTCTAAGGCCAAAATTTGAAGTCTGGTGGCACAATGGTATTTTGTTGCGAGCAGAGTGGAGGAATCTTCTCGTGAAACATCTCTGGACTCTCTCGATTGTATTTATGTCAAACGGGTCTTACGCGAGGGAGCCTCCCGCGAGCCTAGGAGGGGGTCGAGGAGGGAGGGGAGGAGGAGGAGGAGAAGAAGGAGCAACAGGCGCGGAGCAGAGGCGGCGACAGCAGGCAGATGCTTCTCGTCCCCGGCCTCGCCACTTGCACGCGTCTTCCAGGAAGAGGCGCCTGGTTCGGGCGAGAGAAGCTGCGAGGGCTCGATAAGCTGGCCGCTATCGGGACGTCGCAGGCAGCAAGAAGAGCGCAAGCAAAAGGAGGAGCTGCGGGGGGGAAACGAGCGAGTCGCGGGCGCATCTCCAAAACCCAGCCGGGAAGGAGGGACGGAGAACAAGCCAGAGGGCGTGGAGACCCGGGCTCCCCTCCAACCGTGCTGGAAGCCGCTTGTGCGCTCGGTGGCGTCGCTGTCCAGGAGGACGGAAAAGCTGCTCGCCCCCCGGGTGCCGCTTCAAGAGATGTAGCAAAGGTAGGAGGTTGGAGGGGAGGGGAGGGGAGGGGAGCCGAGGAGGAAAGGTGAAGCGGGGCATTTGGGGGGGGGGAGGGGAGGGCGGAGTTTAAGCCTGACGGAGCCGGTGCCTTACCTGGAAGTTGGGATGTGTGTGTGTTGAATTGACCCAGGTCAGGAGAAACTGGCGTAGGATCCCAGACTTGGATCCCAGACTTTTTGATTTAGGGACGTGTTTGGAAGAGAGAGAGAGAGAGAGAGAGAGAGAAGGAGTCTGGCTGGCTTTTGGAGACAACTCTTAACTCTGTTTTAAGGCTGCTTTTTCTTCACTGGAGAAAAAAAAAAACACGACTCCGAATTTCAGCACCTCAATGGGATCGTCTGAGCTAGCCATAGGGACCAACCAGAAAAGACAAACGCCATAAATTAAGACTTTCTTGCTGAAGGAAAATCCAGCAAGAATAAAGGTAAAGGGGGTGGGAAACTCCGTGTTTCATTGGAAACAACAACAATAAAAAAACAACAACTCCAAAACCTCCTGCCAACATAGAAATGCCGTTATAGCAACTTATAGTGAGGCTACAGTTTGGAAACTGTATACAGTCCTGGTCACCACATGTCAGACATGATGCTATAGATGGGGAAGGATGCCAACAAAGCCACTTAGAAGGATGCTGGGTGATTAGACTGGCTCCCCTTCGAAAAGATTAAAAGGGCTGGCTTTTTAGAATAGCTCAGATGGGAAAGAAGGAAGGGAGGCTATTTAACAGCCTATATGTATGAAAGGGTGCTTGGGTGATACGGAAAATGTTTCCAGAGCCAAGTTCTTCTTCCTCACAGTGTGAGAACTTGAAGCATCCCTAGACGCTCAGAACTGAAAGTAAAAGAAGGAATTCTTTGCACAACCTACATTAAACTGTGAAATTTGCTAGCATCTGATGTGGGGATAGTTATTCCTGGAAAACAGGCTAGGAACGGCTCGTAGACTTGATGATTGTTTAATGCCTATAGAATGATGAGCATTGTGCCTAATACCAACTAGTAGGAAGGGAGCAAAGATGGAAAAAGGGCCATGGCCCATCTTCTTCTGCTCTGCACTTGGTTGGAAACTAAGCAATGTCAAATGTTGGACTTTCTTATATTCTTTATATTCTTATATTTTTACATTCTGGGTCCCTTGAAAATATATACTCGAATCAACAAAAATTCTGTTTCTCTGCTTTTGCTGCCCAAGTCTCAAACGCAAACCTTCCCCAAATAAACTGAGCTAAACTCTTCCATAAACTCATTTCCAAGTAAATATGCCTAAGACCACATGCCTTTCCACTTCATACTAAGCTTGAAGATATATTGACCTGAGGGACTGCAGAAGGATGTGCTGGAAATCACAGAAAAATCATTATTAAGAGTATGCTTAAAATAGACTGTCGGGTCATATTTATTTTGCTTCATGCAGGAATCTTTATTATTTACCCCTTTAAAAGATGAGAAACCAAAGCTAATTGCAGTTGTGATCCAGTGGCAAACCAGTGTATTTCTATGCCAAAATATTTTTCACTGAGTTTAATAGTATTTGTTGTTAGGTAAATGGGTATAGGATTGCAGCAGCAATACAGAATAAGGACATGTAATGGCAGTTCCAACATCATGTTTAATCACAGTTGTGTTAACTATGATTTGTTGAAAATACTACAAGTCAGGAACAAAAGAACATGTCCACACATGAAGCTCCAATTATGCACATGAATCTTCTGGACTCACTGGATTGGGGTATCTATTTATGTATAAAATTTATAGGCTGCCTATCTTGACTCAAGGTTAGATAAAAGTCAACAGAATTCAAGGAGGGGTTGGAATTAATTTGCTTATTGCTACATAGGGATTCTAGACTGATCCCTCTTTTAACTCCAACCCCAGTTTCTGGCACCCCTTCTATCCTACAGTTGCTTAGCTTCACATAGTATGCTAAGCCAAAACAACACCAGACTTGCCCTGGATTTGGTTTCCTTGAACCCAGACTAGATTAAATTGGAGTTGAAAGGTTGGTGGTTTGGCATTGTCTTAATAGGTTGTGTAAAATAGACTATTCATTTGGTTGGTTAAACATTTTATATAAACATCAGGATTTTGCAGGGTGAATCATAACAGGCAAGATGGCAGGTGTGTCATTGTTACCAAAGCCCAACCCCTTTGTGGGCATGGCTTGGATTGCAATATTACATCTGCCATCTTGTCAATTTTGATTCCTCCCTACAATCATCTCTGTATGTAAACACAGCAGTTGTGTGCTGGGTTTGTGGGAGGGTGTTGTTATGGCTTAGTGATACTGAATAGGCTTAGCTAATGCAACTATGGAAATACACACAGATTTCACCAGCCCACAATGGCAGATCAGGGATATACCATTCTGTTATTTTTAGCTAATATACCGTATGGAAATTGTCAGGCTTGCTGGCAAAACTTGGCAAGATTTTTCAGACAGACAGCTCAACTCAGGATGGTTTGACTAGTCTTTAGGTCTGAATTCAGTTTAAGGCCCTTTGACATACAACATGCTTGGCTAGATAAAAGTATTCGTTGTGGATCACAAAAACAGCTGATTCACCTCTGTCAACATGAAATTGTAATTCAGTCTTTATACTAGCTTAATTCCAACACTCGCCCCTCACCCTTCCCTTATTTTAATGGACTTTTCTTGCTGTCCTCCTTTGCCTTGTATGCCTGTTGATATAACTGACATCTCTGCCTTGAGAAACTCTCAGCTCCCAGAGAAATCTCAGTTTTATTCTAGAATGTAGATCTGTTTAATGTAATGAAGTGTCTGTGTTGAAACAAAATACATGGCACATTAATGAAGAAATTATAGACTGAAATACACACAGAGAGAGACACGCATGTGTGCATGCACACACACACACACAAATACAGACATGGTTTCCTCAACTTAGTGCTCTCCAGATGTGTAAGACTAATTGCCAAAATTTCCCAACCAACAGCTGGTTGGGGGATTATGACAATTGAAATTGAACACAATGGCTGGGTTTGCACAAAGCATTATAGCTAAAAGACTGGGAAAGCTATTTTTCAGTATATTATGGAAACTCCATCATTGTCTTAGCAGTTGAATGAACCAAGCTATGACTTTAAGTGTTAATATGCCTTTTTTGGGGGTTTCATTTGGGCATAGCATCTTACTGTGTTTTGTTCTCCTGCGATTAAAGGTGTATAGATTGTATTGTGTGAATTCAGTTACTTGGAGAAAAACAGAATGAACAACGTTGAAATATGCAGTAGTGGCCAAAACTGTGGAAACCTTTTGGGAAAAGTGTATTTTCTAAAACTAACTAATAACACCACTTTTTTGGAGTAGTACCATAAAATTATATATCAATGGAAAGATAATTTAATCAAGAATGTAATGCAATAACTTTTATGAAGGATTTGCTATTAGAATAGCAGTTACAGTATAAAGAAGAAAAGTGAAACACATAGGAAAAACGAGATATACAAAAATTATCACCATGTCAGTTAATAGTTGGGTAACCTTTACCATGAATTACAGCCTTACAATGTCTTCCCATGGAGTGAACCAAATCTTTTAGTTCTGCAGCTGTTATAATGTGAAACAGCAGTGGAATAGGATTATCTTGAAATGCTGCTAAAAAAAAAAAAAAAAAAGTGGTGTTATTAGCCATCAAACCTCAAAAATACACTTTTCCCAAAAGGTTTCCACAATTTTGGCCACTATTGTATAGTCTATATCTTTTCGCACTCTTCCCACCTGAACAATTGCAATAATGGCAGTGTGGTTAGTGGAAATACTTGGAGAGGCAGTAGGCAGCCCTGATAGGTCACACATAGGATTTTTGAACATTGTATGCAAGAAGAAGGAAGCCAACACAGAGTATAGCATAAGTAAATATGGAGATACCTCCATAACAATATGTTTCAGAATGATTTTTTTGAGAGAGAAAAACGGCTCCTAGAGGAGGAGAAGCAAGCTTTCAGGGGATAAAGACAACTTGCAAAGGCAGATGCTTATCCTGGGGTGGGGGCGGAAGAGATTTAGCCCTGAACCCATTGTCTCGACTAAACAGGGAAGCTTCAGAGAAGGGTAAAAGAAAGAAATAGGAACAGTTCACTGTGTCGGGGTTCCAAGTAACATCTCCAATGAAAGAAGACTCCAAGACTTGAAGTTCCTCAAAGTTCCATTTTATTAGAGATGTCTTATTGGCACATCTGGGAAAACCTGAATCTGAAAATTTCCAGGTTTTCCCCATCCAAACGAAAGTCCAAGTCCCTGCCCAGCACCTACATGTTCATCACATGGTCCAATCAAAGTACCGTCCCAACTGGAGATGCCTCTCAGTTCCAGCCTTCCAGGTGCAGGGCAAGATGTCCTTGACTCTCTGAGAAAGGAATGTTATTTTGACTATATATTACCCATGCTCCATACAACCCCCCCTCCCAATTTCCCACAGTAGTAAATGTGGCAGGCCTGACAGCCCAATGCAAAAGATGGCTTCCAGGCCTGACACATTGTATGAGTTAAGCTGCCATTGCTAGGAGATCCAGGATTTAGCTTTGTCTCTTATTTAAGGAGAGAGTCCCTTATTTAGTATTAATTGTAGTGTTCCTTTTTTCTCTGCATGGCAAGGACAGTTTATTGTGATAAATGAAGTATATAGTAATCCCCAAATGCTTATTCATCTTAAATGTGTTAGTCTTTAGGATGTCATATGACTCTCTGTTGTTAAAAGAAATTCACAGAACTCATTTATCAGTTTCTTGCATTCTCTTACATTTAGCTTGGATTTCTTCGGATGATGACTGTACCAAGCTTCAGTCCTTTAGTCTAATTTTCTTCTAGCTACAAACCACAAAGAGTCTAGTATCTGGGTCTCCAACATGGCACCTGCTAACATGTCCCTTGTCCCCTGCCAGTTCCCTGCCCTGCTTAATTTTATTTATGTTTAATTCTTAGAAGCACACATGGGAAGCCAACATGTTGCAAAGCAGAG